AAGAGTATGCTGCTCTCAGAGCTGCATCTGTCATGAAACAGATTTTTTTTTTTTTTTGTCTTGTTTACATTGTGATACGAAGCACCTGCATGTTTCTTTTAATGCTAAACAACTTCTGTCCTGAAAAAATCTGGAAAGCTGTTATGCCTCAAATAATGGAATGAGACTGTTAAAGGCCATTTTACTGTTCTGGAAAAATAGCTTCTGCTGTTTGTAACTCTGCTTTGAGAAGCATCAAGTCTTAAAGTAGAATTATCCTGTGTTTTATTTTGACCACTTGTAATTTTATGTAATGAGTTTAGTCATGTCATGCCTTTGTGCTTAGCCAGCTTGTAAAGAAATAATGTTAAACATAAGCTGATTGGGGTCAGAGCAGGAATTTGAACTATCTTCACTGGTTTTGCTAGAAAGAAATTACTTTGTTTGTTAACGGGACTCAATATGTTCTGTTATCTAAAACATGAAGGTTTGATGAAGTGCTACTAACTTTTTCAACTTAGGACAGAAAAAGGAGGCTATTGTGCAATGGTGGCAGGAGGAAACGAGCTTTTTGGTTGTTTTTTTGTTTGTTTCTTCACAAAGAATATTAAGGGAGACAAATACATAGACAATAATATCTATTTGAATAATGTCTATAGGTATATAATTCTGTACATTTCAAAGCAGTTCCTCCAAAGTACTTTATGGATTTAAAAAAAAAAGTAAAAATAATAATAAAAAGGTCTTCCCTAAAGTGATGCATGAAGTGATGTCTGCAGGCTTATAAGACTCTCTTGTAAAGAGTAAGTTTATAAGTGCTGGGTTCGAGTTGTGACGAATTAAACGCCAAAGCAGTGTAATCATTGCAGGTTCAGAAAAAGAAGACTTTGGGTTTCCAGGGCTTCCTCCATTATTATCCTGATGTGACACCTGGGCAAATTTGCTTCTTTTGTTTGTGACTCCGTTTCCAAACTTGTAAAATAAATAAATAACAAGGACAGTAGCATCCACCAGTACAGTCCTGGTGTGAGAACAACACCTATGTAATGTGTGCTGAAATCCTTGGGCTATAACAGTTCGCTGCTTGACCATAGCTTACAGCAAATTTGCTGAATATTCATGTCCTCGAGTCTTGATTTAGACACCAAATGTGTTATTGCTGAATACTTGAAAAAGTAATCATTCCAGGTTTGCTTCCTAGATGACTTTTCCTCTTTCAGATTACTTCCTTTATTTTAACCTTGCAGTAGATGTCACTCCACATGCATGCTTCGTCACTGTCCCAGTTCCCTCTTTCCTATGATGGTGTAATGGAGGTCATCACAGGAGAAGGGCAGTTTGTCTGTCCTGAGTGCATGTTGGAGTTGAAGCAACAGTTCATAAGATGACACAAAAACTCATATGCTTTCCTTCTCTCTTGTATGCTTACTCCAGTCCTTGCGAGATTCGGGAGCTCTGGGGTCAGCTACGAAAGGAGCGTCCAGAGCTCTTATCCAATTTTGAAGAGTTTCTGTTGCGTGTTTCATCATACATAAGGGAGATGAATCATGAGAAGGAGTCTATGGAACAGGCATTGAAGCGGTAAGGAGAACGTATTTGCCGTCAGGAATCAGCTGATGCTTGGATGCTGCCTCAAACGCAAAGGAGAGACTGGATTACAGGACCCACAGATTTTTCTTGCTGTAATAAAATTATTCTTTATCTTGATCTGATCCCCATGGGTTTGTTTTGCATTAGTGCTCACCCATAAAATTTTATATGGTTAAAATCCCACTCAGTGCTATACAGCTGTTGGTGGAAATCTGTTTCCACCCTCCTCTCCTGTTTTCTTTCTGTATTCTCTTTCTCTCCCCTGACCTGTGCACACCCTGCCTTTTGTAGGAAGGAGACAGACCATGACCGAGAAGTCAGATGCCTCTATGAAGAAATGGAGCAACAGATCAAGGCAGAAAGGGAGAAGCTGATCTGCCAGGTACCTCATCTCTCTTGGCAGAGAGTTAAACTTTCTCTGATCTGAAGCAGAGGTGGTGGCTCATCTAGCCAAGGAACAGCTCTTACTGTGCTGGGTGTTGTATGCACAGCTGTGTATCTTTACCTCTGCAGGAAGCACTGAGGCATGACAGAAGTAACCTGCTTCAGAAGGAACTGTGCAGCAAAGAGCAGGAGCTGGAGAAAATCCTCTACCGCCAGAAGAAGGTAACAGGACCCAAATCATTTCTAAAGAAACATGTCCCCTTCTACTGTCTTTCTGCTAAGGCCTTTTCTGACTGAGAATGGTTTTCATCTGCTGAGAGTTGGTACTAGCTAACCTGGTACTAGCTAGTCTAGTTCTCTCCTGTCTGTGAAGGTGTTGAAGTGGTTTGTCAAGTGATTGGTTTGTCTTCAACCGAAATGTCTTCCTGTGAATGTTTTGTCCATGCATTTTATTTGCTTTGTTTTGTCTTGGCATAATCTTCCTATCAGTTGTACAATAACTATTTGGCAAGGAAGACTGGGTAAAAATTTGTCGGTTGTGAGTTTGGAGCCTTTTGTGGTGTGTAAGAAAGCTGTGTATGGACATACAAGAGCCAATTTTCTCTAGTTTGTGTTTTCTGGCTGCTCCAAAATAACCCAGAGTGAACGGTTGTGTGACGCTTAAAGCTGTACGTACTGTGTATTTGCATTTCAGTACCTAATGACGTACTGAATAATCAGTCACATAAAAGATCAAAGCAGAAACTTTCCTTTAGCCTGCCATTCCTGGCACGGACATTTGTGTAGGACAGTCCATTCTAAATGTCTTTTTACTTTTTGTCTGAAGAACTGAGACATGACCCCCACAGAAACAAGTCATGGGAGGTACCTGTAAGACGCTGGCAACTGGGGGTATCCAAGTTGGATACCTAGCTGTGATGTGGATGAAACAGCACAGAAACTGAAATCATCAGCTCATTATGCAGCAGCTGGAAAAGCCAGCAAAACTTAGGTGCCATCAGGAAGAATATTGAGAATAAGATAGACAACTTAATTTTCCTGCTGCCCACACCTTTGATGTGGCTCAGCTGGTGTGTGCAGTTCTGGTCTCCTCTAACTCCACTGTGTCCTCCTTGACTATGAAGGTACAGAGAAATAATATGATTAAGGAAATGGAGCATCTGCCTTAAGAAGAGAAACTAGGAAAGCTTAGATTTGATTTTGGAAAGGGGAAGGCTGAGGGAAGATATAAGTGAGCTTTATGGACTCAGGAAGGTGGTTGGATAAGGTTCACATAGAACTGTTACTCCCTAAATCCTGCAACAGCAGAGGTGAAGGACATTCTGTGAGACCAGTATGAATTTGATTTAGAAGAACATACTTCTTTACATAGAGATTAGCGCTGGATTTTTTGCCACAAGAGGGAGGCAGTATCAGCAGTTCAAAAAACATATTGGACAAACAGACAACAGATTCGTAAATGTTTATTAAAAGGAGGAATAGTCAGGGATGTGGCCTCTAACATCCCTAGTCCAGGGACCATAGATGCTAGGGGGGTATGAGGGGAATGGACCATATTTAGATGTCCAGGCATGCTCTTCCTAGGTAGCACCTCCTCTTGCTATGGGTCAGGGCAGAATACTGGGCTACATGGACACTTACTCTTACTCAAATGGTCATTTCTGATGCTCTTAACTCTTAAGGCTTGTACTAAGCTAGGTGGATAATCAGTTCCCTCTTGTGGCATAAGACCAGTATTGTGATCGTGCTATTATACGGTATCGGTTCCAAGTACAGACAACATAAATTGGAGAGTTGTGTGAGACAGAGACTTCTCAGGGAGGGTCAGGGGCTTTAAGTAAAGCTTATTGAAAGATGCAAAGGTTGTGGGCAGCAGTTGCTGTTTTATATGCTGACTCTCAACTCCACTGCTCAGCGTATGTGGTCACACTCAAATTTTCCCAGGTGTCCAAAGGACTGGAAGTCTCCAGACAACGCTGGGTGTGACTTGTGCTTGTAGCCTCAGTGAGGAGAGATGTGGGGCTTGTGTTTCAAGGAACCTAGGAAAGGTCAGCTCTGTTCATTCCTTTGTTTTATGCGTGCTGGCAGAGAGCAGGGTAGCAAGAAAAAACCCCACTTTATCTTTTTGCCACAGTGTGCTGCTTTATTCTCCCTTTTAGAGTCTATCTGAAGGTGCAGAGAAGGCAGGCTTACGGTATAAATGGGTTGCCACAAGAGTCCCTGCTCTGTGGTGAGATCACATCTCTCCATGTCCTTGCCTAACTTTCTGTCTATGTGGCAAGTAGTTGTCACACGTGGTATTTAAAGGGCTGACCTTAGCTCTGTGCTCAAATGTTTTGGGAACATTTGGGAAATGTGATCTTCTGCCACCTACTACGCTGGTCAGAACTGGTTCCTGGTGCTCCCCTCTGGTTGCAAGCATGGATTGTATCATTTTATTTTGGGGCTGTAAGTTCTCAGATGGTTACCACAATTTCTGCATAGCACCAGCTTCAGCAGAGGACCCTGGTTAGCTGGTATGGCTGGCTAGATACCAAAGTGTCAGTATGATCCTTCTTGAGATGTCCTACTGGTCATCTGTGAAGATTACACCAGCCATTTGTGAGGAGTCGCATCACTGGTTGAGTACATGACAGCAGGTCTTTGAACTTCCCAAATTAGGCTTGATAGTTTTGCTGGGGTCTTGTGCTGTCCAGAGTGCAACTGTGCCCCAGTGGCATTTAAACAACATCTCTAGCCTGAGGTCCTGTCTCCAACAGTAGTAAAGGCCACCCAATCACTTGACTTTCTGGGTATAGTGTGAGATACCCCTAGCACCTTAATATATCCCCCTTTCAGCTGCCATGTGCTCAGGAAGCCCCCAAACTAGAGGATGCATTTCAACAACTGTGCTTAATAAGTCCCAACAGACACACCCCTGCTTCCACACAAATTTTTCCAGTCCTCCTTTGGCCCTCATTTGCACTCTGATTTCCGCAATGCCTGACAGCAGCAAGCTGCTCACGCTGCCTGCAGCACTTCCCTAGGTATGCCTGACTAATTGCATTGCTTGCTCCCCAGTGCTGGCATGATGAGAAATAATTGCTTCCAATTCACATTCTTGGTGCCACTGGTGGTCCTGTAGACCTGAGTTGTGTTTACCTCCCTTCCACCTTGTTGTTTACATCTGCTTTTTCAGCCTGTTTTTACAGGCATGATTGTAGCACAAACCCCTTCCTCTCTGTGTTTAACCCCTCCTCCTCCTCTCCCATTGCAGTTGGAACATCAGCTACAGTCTTTGAACTCAGAGCAGCTGGAGACCCGCGTGCAGAACGAAAGGCTCCGACACCTGAATGAAAACCTGCTGGAAGAGCTGGAGAAAAGCAAATGGGAGCTGGAGGCAGTGAAGGGGCAATTACAGAAGCTCCAGAAAGAGGCCCAGCTTGAGCAAGAGCAGAAGGACAGGTGGGAATGGGCAGGGAATGGGGGTGTCAGGGCAGGGATCCAGGCAGAGGAGGAAGGGTGGGGAAGTAGTTAAAGAATAAGGATCTCTGATTGGAAGCCTTGGTCTCATCAGAGGATTGGCTGCCTTTTCTTGAGGAAAAGTGGTAACATCCCAGTGGTCTTATGGGCCTAAACAGGGAGTGATACTGCTACCTCCTGCCTGCCTTTAGTGGGAAAGGAATAGTTTTATTGATATTTGGCTATAAAAGCACTATAAAAAATACAGATGTTCCTCAGCCTAAAGGAGGCTTCTCCTCCATGTATTTGTCCAGTTCACCATCACCTCTATAAAGATCATACAGATACTTTTCTAATCACTTATGTTCCTGTTTCTGGGCTTAATCTAGTAATGCTTGACTGAAACATTGGGGTGTTTCAGATCCAGATGGCAGTGAGCATCCTTCCCACCTCTAGCAGCTGAGGAAACTGGAATGTGAAAGGAGAAAATGGGTTGCCTGCCCTCATGCTGCAGTGCTGCTTCCTCTGAATCCTCCTAGCATAGGGCAGACCCTTATCTTTGAGAATAGCATGAGTGTCCCTGAGAAAGGGATCTTTGTATTTCCTTTCCTATTATTTCACCTTTTAAAATCCCCTTTGCCCAGGGATGTGTTTAGAGTCTCCAAGAACATGCAGAAAGAGAAACAAAGTCTCCTTCGGCAGCTGGAGCTCCTCAGGTAAGAACAACAGGGCTGGGGGGAGATGCTGAGCTCTTGTGCACCTAAGGGGCTGAGGTTTCAGCACTATGCTCGTTTCTCCCGCAGAAAGCAATGGGAGTGTATTCAAGCAGTGGTCATACACTGCTTGTTTTTCTAGGTCCAGTCAGAGTTGTGCAATCTGGCCAGCTCTGGCAGAGTACAGGCTGTGTTATTTCACCAAGTAATCCCTGCACTGGAGGAATTTAGTCTTTCCTGCAGGCTAAGGGGACCATGTAGAGCCCATTACCTGAGCTGGGACACATGGAAATCCCAAGGTGTCTTGCAATAAATAACATCTTTATCTGTGTCCCAAGCTCCCTTTCTGTCCTAGCTTTCAAATGTTGGTCTTTACTCCATTTTTGATGAGTGCTTCATTGTGTCTCTTCTATGTCTTCCTTTGGAGCAGAGAAATGAACAAGAAACTTCGAGATGAGCGAGACGCTTTTGAAGCCAAGAAGGTGGTTAGTCTAAGACAGAAAATCCTAATTCCCAGCCACCCTCCTTTCATCTGCTGCTGTTGCTGTCACCGCTCAGGGGCCTGTCACTTCCATGGGGGACAATGACCTGAGCTTACAAGGCCTGGTGTGGTGCTTATTGCAGACTTCACAGAACCTCTCTGCATGTGCTAGAGATCAGCTCTGCTGGTTGCTGTTGCCAACTGCCCAGGTTTAACCCAAGGCGCATTAGTTTGTGACTGTTATGCAGCCCTGTGCAGGGCTGCAGTGGGTGCTGTCTGCTGCACATGTGGGGTTTGTGCATTGTGACAGGCACTGGGCACATGCAAGGAGGGGAATGAAGCTGGATGCATCCCTGGAGCTGGGTGGTGAAGAAGAAGATGGATTCCAATATGTGCTGCCAGCTGACTGGGGATGGAGGGTTATGGGAGGGTTTTGGAGTTTCTCTGACCCCTTGAGTTTGTAGCAGATGTTTTCAGATCTTCCTCTTGGGGCAGCTCCCCATTCCTGTGAACTCTGCTGGGGTGGAGGTACAGCAGTGAGCCTTGTGTCATAGGGCTAGGAGAAAGCAGGAGACCTCTTTGACATCTGGAACAGTCAGTTCCATCTCTGGCCTTTCCCAGTCTCCAAGATAAGTATGAATATGTGATGTATTTTTAATTCTTATTATTTTTTCATGAAAATGTCTTTGTGTTCCCAAATGTCACTGGCAAGGCTGCTCTGTGCTCTTCTTGGACCCATCCTTGCCACCATGCATCTTCGCCTGCTCTGACACCATGCCTCACTTGAAGATCTGGAAGTAGCTGTCTTGCAGCGAGGACAGGCAGTGGTAGGCTGCGAGAGACTTTATGGCTGGTGTGTAAGGGAATATGGAAGGAAGCACAGGGATCGTGCCCAGGTAGGGGATGAGATGCCCTGCTGGGGAAGAGGCTGGAGTTCTTCTCCAAGTGGAGCAGCAGCTGTGTAAAATAACGTCAGTAACTGTTTTGGATGGAGGTGAGGTGTGTGTGCATGTGCCTTTGTGTGTGTGTTTCTGAAATATGAAGGGGTTTTTTTTTTTCCCCTTCATTTTTAAAGCTGCTAAGTGTGTGCATGCACCAGGGCCTCCTGGTCCCTCTTGGAGAAGTAATAAACACAAGTTGCTCTGTAGCAGAGTCCAGAGTAAGCAGGCCAAGAAAATAGTTTGTTGTCCTCTTTCCATGTATAGTGCTTCATCAGCTTCTGGGTTCCTGTGGTTGGGGCGGGTGGCCCATGGAGAGCGCGGTTCAGGTATGTGCCTCTGTATGTGCAAAGCTTGTCTGCTTCTCCTCTATTCTTTCCTTTTCCCCTACCAAGATGTGCTCAGGGCTGCTCTGAAACATGACAGTTGCAGGTGGACCTAAGAGAGAGCCTAGCAGAGAGTCATAGTACAGAGGAGCCGCTTTCTTCCTGGTCCCTGTGCTGGCAGTAGGGATGGGGCAGCAGGGTGAACTCCTCCTACCATCATTGCTCATCTGGCCAGCCTGTGTCATGCCAGGCAGATGAAGCCTGTACTGGAGTAAGGTTTTTTCCTTTGTCAGCCACGACATCTTGTTAGCCACTCTCATTTCAGTCCACAGGAAAGCAGGGCTCCAAGGGATTGCAGAGATGCTGCTATCATCATGCACCTGCAGAAGATCTCCTGTCAGCCTGTCCCACTGCAAGTGGGAGAGAAAATAACAATACTTCCCAGCAACAGCAAAAAAGAGCATCCAGCTTTCTGATGGGGATCCCTAGTGTGTGACACTCTCTGCCAGAGAGTGTATCAATGCTTTTACAGGCTAAAGAGAAACCCAAGGCCTTACTACCCTCTGTTTATACTGGGAAGAGTTGTGTTACTTCTGTGAAATTAAGGTGTGATGAACAGTGGCTCTTCCATAGCAAAGATTTTGAAGTGGTTGGAAGGAGGAGTTGGGCTGTAGGCTGCTGATAGCAACCCAGCCGCTGCTCCTCTGCACTTCTCATTGCCCAGCTTAATACCTTGCTCTTCATAAGAGTTTCCGCCCTTGCCAGAGTGGGCAGGCCCTGGCCCCACATCACTGTGGGGCATTGTTTTGCCCCAGTGGCTAGGTCACAGATAGCAATGTGTGGCTATTTCTGCCTAGGTGCAAACTGCGGCTGGGTGCTTTTAAGGCCCAGGGGTTGCAGGTTCAGGTTCACACCCATGACTCATCTGGCTTTCATGTTGTTGACAGAGCAAATTTAATGTCTGCTTATCATGAAGAGTATTTTGGGACTTTGACTACATTGGACACGTATTTGTATTTCACTGATATACCAGAATTTATCCTATCCCACTGATAAACCAGAATCTTTCCCATCCAAAATGCTTGTATATGTGCTGCTGTTGTTGTTGTGGAATCCCTGCCATTGTCTGTTGTACAGCTGTGATGTCGTGTCTGTCCCTTTACCATCCCAGTGAAAAGCCAAATGTTACACAAACCTGGCAGGCCAATAAAGCATGGCAGAACCAATGGCAAAACACTCCCCGTTGTTTCTCCTTTCTTACCCAGGTACGTACTTGCAGGCTGCTTCCTCTTCAGGTAGGGTGGTGCCATAGCAGATTGCCTGGGAGTCCCTTTGCTCCATAGGTGACTTGAAGCTTGTGACTCTGCTCCGGCGGACTGTAACACAATTTACTTGTTTCTGCATGTTTAGAGTGTGTCCTTGAATGAACATGCTCAAACCCTGAGAACTTCCCCACTGGAGAACGACTGGTTGGCTAAACCACACAACCTGATAGCATTGTTGACCAAAGGGTCGCTACACACTTGGGTGTCCTTTGCCTTGGAAGATACATGCCCACAGTTGTGAACCTCTTGGTACTGGATTGTTTCTGAGGCTGGAGCTTCTCTTGAACACCAGTTTTACATGTAAAAAAGGTTTTGGGTTTTTTTCCCCTCAAAGTTCCTAGTTAGGTGAGGTCCTCTATGGAGTCCAGAGTGTCTCCTCTTGTTGGACTGCATTGCAGTAAAGATGTCCTGGGAGTTCTGGCCAACAAAGCAGCTTCTTCATTTTTTGCCTTTTAAAATAAGCCAGGAGTTATTGAAGAAATAATCTTTGTAGTCCTCTCCTGGGCTGCAGGCAACATGAAGGAAGGCCTGTCCAGAGCTGCCTGCAAGTGTTTGGTCAGTTCAAAACTGCCACCAGAAGCAGATCTGGCAGACTGCAGTCTCTTTTTTCCCCACCTTTACCCCCAGAAATAACTTGTGAGGACGTGTCGGAAATTTCCAGGCTTACAGAGTGAGTACATCTCCCTTTCCCCCAGTGCAGAGGCGGTGAGCACCCTGCCACGTTGTCTCACTTTGTGTTTTGTGTGTGTAGCCTGAGCAGCTAGCCAGTCTGGGGGTGCGGGGGGGCTAGGCTTTAGCATAAAATTTGGGGGAGCTGGCAGGTCAATCTGCTGCAGCTTTTCCTGTGTGATCTCGGGCAATTTGCTCATCTTTGGGGATGAAAAAGCTGCTGTATGGGGGAAGAGGATTGCGAGAGGGAGTTGTCCTGCTTTCTCCTTCTCTGGGGAGCTGGTAAACACTGTAGGAAGTGTGTAGCCTAAGGTAAGTAGGAGGAAAGCATGGAGAGGGACATTCGTGTAAGGCAGAGCATGTGCATTGCCCTTTGCAGACCAGTCCCTTTCCTGTGGTGCCTGTGCAGCTCTGGGTGAGTACTGCTGGAGGAGGGGTACTAGTGCCTTCTGAGGAAGGGGCAATTGGTCTGTCCCACAAAACATCAGCATAATAAAAAGGCAGGTGGGGAAACAGATTCAGCTGTGAGACCAAGACAAGCTGCAGAAATG